ATATTTTTTTTTGCGGGTACATGTCCAGTTATACCAACACCATTTATTGAAGAGACTGTCTTGACTCCACTGTATGTTCTTGCCTCCTTTTTCAAATATTAATTGAGCATAATGGCTTGGGTCAATTTCTGGGGTCTCTGTTCTGTTCCATTGATCTATGTGTCTGTTCTTGTGCCAGTACCAGGCAGTTTTGATTACAGTGGCTTTGTAGTATAACTTGATATCTGGTTTGTGATTTCTTCAACTTTGTTCCCCTTTCTCAAGATTTTCATGAATATTCAAGGTCTTTTTTTGTTCCATATAAATTTTTGGAGTATTTGTTCTAGATCTGTGAAATATGCTGTTGGTATTTTAAAAGAGATTGCATTGAATCTATAGATTACCTTGGGTAGTGTGAACATATTAATGATGCTAATTCTACCAATCCATGAACATGGTATATTCTTCCACTTGTTTATATCTCTCACCGAAAATCCCCATTTCTACTTCAAGTTCCCTATAGTCCTCTACTAGGAAATCTTCCTCGCTTTCCCCAGAGCGAATGAATAGCTTTCTGCAGTGAGCAGTTACAACCATTATTTAAACATCGGGTATGTTACTTTGTACTTTTGTGTGCAGAGAAGGCTGCTCCATCCTCGGTTCCACCTTACCTAAGCCTCATCTGCCATTGTGCTAATTAGCATAATCACTTTAGTTGAAGACAAAAAAACTGTATACACTTGGAATGGACACAACAAATATCCACCTAGCTCTACTAAAAAAAAAGTGGGGGGGGGAGGGTTTTGATTAGCTTCAGAATACTTTCAGCTATTAACTGCAATGTATTTTTCTTAATGAGTAAGCTATATCTGAGAATTTTCTTAAAGTCATTTATGTAAATTGATAAATAATACTCTATTTACCCCAACATCCTAGAGCAGTATTGGATTGATCCATACATGAACAATGGGAGGAGGGAAGTGATGTGTTTTCTGGTCTGGGAGTCTTTCGCTGGGATGGACTGAGATCAATGTGCTGTAGGAGAAGAAAAATAATTTTCCCTCTCCCCTTCTAGATTCTTGGCTGAGACCCAACCCCTCCCACCATAATGAAAAGACAGATTAACAGGAAAAATAATAATTTTATACATACAGGAGCTCCATAAAAATATAAGACTCCAAGGTAGTTAGGCAATTGAAGTTTATAATGTTCTTGAGCTAAGGAAAAGAATGAGGCTCTGGGCTTCACAAAGGAGGAAGACAATTCATAGGCAGATGAGAAGAGTAAATATTTGGTAAGCCAGTGTTTTCCCTGCCATTCAGATAAATCTGATATAAAAGGTTATCTCTGGTAGTAGCTCTCTTCCTCTGCAGGACCCTCTAAATTCTTTTAGGCAGTTAAGGGGGAGGTAAAAAGCTTTTCCTGAATCTGCTGGCCTTGATTGCCTTCAGCTCAAAATAATCATTATGCCAAAGAGGCATATTTTGGGGTGACATGTTCTGCTTCCTGATTTTCTAGGTAATTGCTGTTGCCCACTTAAGTTCTCCCAGTCACCTAGACTGTGTGATTCACCTCAGCTTAGAGACCTCACCGATGGTGTTCTGGAGTACTTACATCCAATTCCTCATAAAACTGGAATCATCTCAGGAGACTGTTTCTTGTCCTTTTCATTTTTTTTTTTTTTACTAGCAGAGCCATAAGCTATTCAATGTCCCCAAAAGTCCCTATGAGCCAATAACTTATGCTTCCTCTCCAGTTCCCTCTTAACTTGGAAGATATGATATTTGAAAGCCAACATGAACACATTTAAAACTAGCCAGCCAGGACACTGTAATTCTCCCAATGAAGAGACAATAGATTAAACAGTATTCCAGCCCTTCAATGTACTGCAAAATTGGTTCTGTTAACTTGCAACTGCAGTTCTCTAGTTCAAAGAGTTCCCATGAATCTGTTGCTTTCAGAGAGTTGAGGGGTCAAATTAGTAGCATAATATAATTAGGGAGTGAATTTGCAAAAGAAAAATTGTTTAAGACATTCTAAACTAATAGCTTTCCCTTCTAATTCTTCTCTCCTCACATGGCCTATACTAGTTACTATAGAAACAGATGTTTTCAGGCCCATGGAAAGACTCAAAGTATTTGGCAGGCTAGTGTATGTTAGCTATTTGCCCTTAAATGTTGCTTCTTCAGCAAAATAATCTGTGCCAAAAATCTGTAGACACACAAATACATACTCTGTTCTGTATCACTGAATTCACAAAGGAGAGAGATTTATTTGTTAAAATGTTTAACATAATCAAAATTCTTAAGCACGTTTCTAGAAAAAAATATAGTCAATTGTAGTTGCTAGCAGTGAAAACATGGGCAAATGGCTTAGTCTGTGCCTGTTTCTTTACAGGTAAAATAGAAATAATTTTTTAAATAAAACCCACCTTATTTGATTCTGAGGAGTAAATACACTCAGAATAGTATCTGATACATCTAAGTACTCAAAATTTTTTCACTACTATTACCATTATTATTATTATTATTATTATTATTTATTTATTTTATTTTATTAACTTCCTGTTTCCTGCTTTCTTTTACTCTGGGTTTTAATTTTCTCAAATTAGTTTTACCTATTTTGGCATCACATTCACCTTGAAGTAGAATGTCTATCTCAGACAATTGGATGAAAGAATGAGCATGTAATTGAATGAATCTAAGAGAGCACATGGCGTGGAAAGAAAATAGATTCTGGCCCTAGCTGGTTTGGCTCAGTGGATAGAGCATCGACCTATGGACTGAAGGGTCTCAAGTTCAATTTTGGCCAAGGGTACATGCCCAGGTTGTGGGCTCAGTCCCCAGTAGGGGGCGTGCAGGAGGCAGCCAATCAATGATTCTCATCATTGATGTTTGGATCTCTCTCTGTCTCTCTTCCTCTCTGAAATCAATAAAAATATTTTTTAAAAGAAAATAGGCTTCTGAGCCAGTAAAACTGGGCATATGTTAGTAAATATGTAAATGACAAAGTCTGAGCCTGTCCCTTCATTTATAAAATGGAGGCATTGCTTGCCTAGAGGAAATGTTGATAGTAACAAACACAACTGAAAAACTCCAGGAAAGTATTGTGGATATGGAAGTGGGATAGTAGTTCAATGGAGCAAATGTGTGCTTCAGTAATATTTACAGTAAGAATAGAAACGAAGGGTTATTGGTGGGGCTCCCCATTTGGCCCCGTCTGTTACCAGTGGAAGTAGAGTTCTTGCGATGTCACAATGAAAGGTATTTCCTGAGACTGGCATGGGAGGATGAATGATCTTTATTTCTCAAAATTAAACCCCTGGGTTTCCAATATCCCTCCACCCGACCTTGGAAAAAGTTCAGTCTTGTCTTCAGCAGGGCAAGAATTAAGGGCACTGCCCAGAGTCTCCTCTCCATATTAAAACACAGTTCAGTCTAGCAACTGGCTAGCTTAGCTTGTGCTCCCAGCTGCAGTCCACCACATTTGGGGTCTTCACATTTCTGTGTCACAGTTGTACTCACCAAAATATGAGGATAACGCAAATAACTACCTCAAAGGATTATTGTGAGGATTGAGTTTATTTATAGAAAGTGCTTAAAACAGATTCTAACACAGAATAAATTACTTAATCAATGTTAGCTTTCATAATGGTGATGAAGATGATAATTAAGATGGGATGATGGGATGCTGATAATAATAATAAAGATGGAAAACCAGGAGATCTCTACCACCGACCAGCTTGGTAACTTGAAATAAATCTCTTAACCTCTTGGTGCCTCTTTCATCATTTGCAAAATATATAAGCTGAGTCCTGTTAATTATAAATATCTGAGAATACTTTTTTCAAAGTAGCTAACTTTGAATACTTTTATTATAAATTTTCTAAGTTAAAAAATGAATCAAAGAAGAAATTAGGTAATTTTTTTTCAATCTCTGCTACCTAAAATATCTCTCTTTTGTTTGTTTTTACAGCTTCCAGCAAAAAGTGCATCCCTGCTCCTGTAGTTATTGCTGCTCTCTCCTTTTTGACCATTGTCACCATCTCTTTAAAAAGTGGAGTATAGCCCTAACCGGTTTGGCTCAGTGGATAGAGCGTCAGCCTGCAGACTCAAGGATCCCAGGTTCAATTCCAGTCAAGGGCATGTACCTTGGTTGCAGGCACATACCTAGTAGGGAGTGTGCAGGAGGCAGCTGATCAATGTTTCTCTCTCATCGATGTTTCTAACTCTCTACTTCTCTCCCTTCCTCTCTGTAAAAATCAATAAAATATATTTTTTAAAAAGTGGAGTATAAAGGAACTTTGTCATTTTGCTTTTCCTGAACGCTTTGGCTTTATTCCAGTTAAGGCACCCTGTATATCCTTGCAGAATAACTCTGTGTCCCCCACCTCCATCAGCTAATGCAGAGCTGACTCAGCCCACTGCCTATGAGTGGGCCTGTAACTCAGTATGTTTCTTCTCCATGGACACAGAGATCATGCTGGAGTAGAAAATGGCACAATCAGAATTTATGAGATAAATTTGGGACACTTCTTTGGCTTTGGGAATTGGATGGGCCCTTTTTTTTTTTTTTTTTTTTTTTTTTTTGAGTGGAGATTAATACCTCCCTGAGAATGGAGCTAACACAGTAAAGGAAGAGCTAAGAAATGAAAAAAACTGAGTCCAGATGAGAGCGAACAAGACCCAAGATCCAACTGTTCCTGAAATTGCATACTGTAGGCTTTTCATTATATAAATCAATAAACTATATTTTCGCTTAAATAATTTGAATTAAACTTTTTATTTCAAGCAATTGGAGGAGTTATGATGAATATAAGGATACTCCCTTATTTTTACTCAGTAGTCCCATTCATTTCCACGTGGATCCCCCCAGCTGTTGAAACATTCTGAGGCACAAACTACAACCAAGAGGAGGGAATGAAACCCAGGACACAGACAGGTTCCAAAAAAGCAGCAAAGTGAGAGCAGCACCTCCTTACTCCCATTTATATATGTGTATTTTTGAGGAGAGAATAGCAAATGGATCAGCTCAAGATTTTCCTCAATATAAGACACCAATTAACGGATATCTATTGCAAATGAACGAGGTTTCAGCTTTGGAGCTGAGACAAAATGCAGAATTCATGTATTAAAATGCATGCTTTTTCCAAGCCCTCTAAACCCTGGAAATAGTCAAAATCCCCTTTACCCTCACCACTGGATATTGTGATGGTCTTATTGTTAGGGAGCAAGGAAAGAATGCCTTAGTTAAGATTACAGTGGCAATTACAATGACAGCCTTGGCTTTGGAGCTGACAAAAGTGCAACTTTCTTGGCTGGGCTAACAAAAGTGCAACTTTCAAGTAGCCATAAGTAAGGAGGTTATCTTGGTGGAATGACTGCATAGAAGGCTAAAAAGTACATAGAATACCTTCTTCTTCCCTCTTCATCAAAAGCTCGCAAGTAATTTCTTTCCCTTTCAGTTTCTCATGATTCAGCCTCTTTTTAAAAATATATTTTTATTGATTTTAGAGAGGGAGAGAGAGATAGAAACAACAATGATGAGGGAGAATCACTGATTGGCTGCCTCCTGGATGCCCCACACTGGAGATTAAGCTTGCAACCTGGGCATGTGCCCTGACCAGGAATCCAACCACTGAGCCACACCAGCCAGGCTTTTTTTTTTAACAGAGTACAAAGACATTTTCTTTTTAAAGGAGAAAATAAGGTTTACATTTTAAATGAGGAAATGTTCAAGTAAAGAAAATAACTTAAGCATTTTCCCTCAAAAAGAAAATTCCAACAAATAACTAGAGTTAATAATTGCTTTTCTTATTCTCAACAAAGTTCCTGTTAGTTGTCAAGTGAAATAGGGCAATCTTGAGAGCATACATTCATTTATAACGCATGAGAGCCGAAGACTTTATGGTAGATAAATGGACTTATCTAACTTTTCTTCCCCGCTACAAGCACATCTCAGACTAGTGTCATGGTAATTTCATTGTGGAAGATTAGATCACCTCCAATTTTCAGCCTCTAATATGGGCTAATCATAAGATCTCAGTAGGTGACCAATGAAAACAAATCATATACTCTAATGTTATTCATGTAATAAAATTCTATTACTTCTCATAAAAAATATTGATTAGGCCCTGAGGTATATAGAAATTGGTATATGAGTGACAAAAATGCAGAGGGTTACTTTATATGCTTCCTAATTCTGAACATCATTTCTGCCAGATTATCTATTGATAATGTTTATATTTACCTGGACTTTGCACTATAGTAACTAGGAATAGAATTACTAAGAGTGAAAATTAGTTTAAGGTTATTTAGATCATTCTTTAAGATGATGTAAAATGTTTAGAAACATCCTCAACTGTAATATTACATTGATTTTTTTAACAATAAATTGTTTTTAGTAATACCATTTCAAGTGGGCTTTTTTATTATTTTTATTTGACTAAAGCAAACTTGAAGTAAATTGTTTGCCAAGTGACTACTCTTTGCACCAATGTCCTAATAGACCACATGTCTGGCATCAAAGATCTAAAAATGTGCTATGAAAACTCACAGGATTTTGAACTCATTTTCTGCCAGAAATTAGCACTTCTGTTGCACTTCTACTTGTCATTGACTTTCTTAACCCCATAAGCACTCATTTCCATCGTCTGTATGGCCTTTTGGAGGATCTCTAAGGTTGGTCTCATATTTTTAACAATTTGCTCCAACTGCTCTGCGGCTGACTCAATGGTATTCCTAGCATTCGCCATTCTTAGTGCATTCTGCAACTTTTTCACAGTGTCTACTGTAGTGGTTGTGGATGGACCTGCACTTGGGCTCTGCTCAGATGTGGTAGCATCTGATTGCCCTTTGGTGTCTTGTCTATTGAAGTCACTTAATTGAAGACTCATGATGGGATGCATCAGCAAGAGTGAAAGAGCAGATTCCAAATTCGCAACGATGTTACCACTACTTATCAGAGAGACAATGAATGGTATATTGCCTGGTGCTACCTTTGGTCTATATGACGGCTGCAACTCCTTTGCATCATCCGTACTCTTCTCAGTGCCCATCACTGTTGTAATCTTGGAAAATAAAGGATGCTTTTGCACGTTGTCATCCTTGGCCTTCACTACAGATTGCATCTCCCTAAAAATTCTGACCATTTGTTCAAAGACTTCCTTAACGTAACTATCTTCTTTCACAGCCATTGTGATGATCTTAGAATTCATACAGCTATTAAACAATTCGGTGAGTGTGTTTGTGAAGGAAGCAAAATCTTGAATGTAAAGAAAGAATGTTTTGGCAGCTTGAACCAGCCTCTCTTTATCCTTTTCTGTCTTTGAAGACATTTCTCCAACAAAAATGTTTCAGCACTGCAAAACAAAGCAGGAATCCAAATTAAAACTAAAAGAATATTTGTTAGCCATAAAAAAAGACACAAAGTATTATCTAAATATTATGATGACTCCCATCAAGGATTGGAAAGCTACACAAGCTTTAAAGCAGAAATGATCTTCTGCTTTAATAAAAATAATACCGAAACTATTAAACCCGCGTAAAAGTGTTCTATTGGATTTAAACCACATATCGCCGAAACCGGTTTGGCTCAGTGGATAGAGCGTTGGCCTACGGACTGAAAGGTCCCGGGTTCGATTCCGGTCAAGGGCATGTACCTGGGTTGCAGGCACATCCCCAGTAGGAGATGTGCAGGAGGCGGCTGATCGATGTTTCTCTCTCATCGATGTTTCTAACTCTCTATCTCTCTCCCTTCCTCTCTGTAAAAAATCAATAAAATATATTTTTAAAAAAACACATATCAAATATTGTGTGCTGGATCCTGAACTGGATGTGTTGATATATAGTGACACTATTCTCAGGTATTACCCTCAATAAGCATTCAATCTAGTGGAAAAGATTGAATAAAGTATTACAAATTATACAGAGAGGCTATGGTTCTAGTTAAGATAGAGCAAGTGCCTTCCATAACAACCTTTCCTACTGATTACAACTAAAAATTTCAAATTATATAAAGTAACAATCAGATAATTCTGAAAGATGGATGACAGCAGACCACAGAGGTAGAGAATGCAGCATTTCAAAGAAGAGCAAGGCCATTTAATGCAAAATCCCAAAATGTCTGTCCTGTTTAAAAATGTTTCAGTACTTTGATTACAAACTTGCCTCTTTTGCTATAGAGAGCAGTGTTAATGTCGCTAACCATTGTTCATCATCTTATTTTTTTTTTTGTATCTCCTCTAGAATTTTGTTATATCAATCATCTTCTCTTTCTTTTATGCTGTGGACTTAATAGTACCCAAAAAATTCATATGCTAAAGCCTTATCCCCCAGTATGACTATATCTGGAGATAGGGCATATAAAGCAGTAAGATTAAATGAGGTCATAAGGGCACAGTTCTGATATGATAGGATTAGTGTTCTTGTAAAAGGAAACACCAGAGAGCTCACTCGCTCTCTCAGTCATGTAAGAGTGCAATGAGGTGACTACCTGCAAATCAGGAAGAGAGCCCCCACCAAAAACTGACTGGGCTGACACTTAATGTTAGGTTTCCCAGCCTTCAGAACTGTGAGAAAATAAATTTCTGTTTTTTAAGCCACCCAACCCATGGTAATTTGTTATGGCAGCCAACTGGAATCTTCCACCTTCTCACTCTTTATTTTTCCTTCTCCTTTACATACATATTCAGTTTCCTCCTCAATTAAAAAAAAATTGACCCTGACTTCAAGTAACGATGCCATCTCACTCCTTCATTTCTCAAATTTCTCACAAGAGACATTGTAATTTATTCTGTCCCCCATTGTTTTCCTATAAGGCACCAATTACTTCTAACTATCACATCTGTTAGCCTATTTCCAGACCCTTGCCATTTTGAGTTCTTGGCATTATTTAAAATTGCTGATTACCTCTTCCTACATCAAAGTTTTCTCTTCCTGGGCCTCCATGATGTATAACTCTAGTCATTCTATGTCCTAAGCCTTTATTTTTTTCCCCCACAGGCTTGTCTTCCTCCTTACACCACCAATAGCTCTCCAGTCCCCTAAGCTCAGCAAGACTGTGTCTTTGATCCTCATAATATTCCACACTTTCTCTCTTGGAGATCTCAACTGTCCCCATAGCTTACAAATGCCATCTGTATACAGATGACTCCTAAATCTCATAGTGTAGCCTCAGCAGTTCTCCTGATCTCCAGGTCTTCATTTTCAGCTACCTAGCAGTCATCTCTATAGGTGACTATGCCAGTATACTCCACACCATGTATCTAAAAACTGCACTTGTCTCCTCAAAAAACAAACACTTTTTCTCCCTCTTAATCTATGCTTTATTTTCACTTTATTTTCCATATCAAATCTGTCCCTAAGATTTGTTCATTCTCACTGAACTTATTCTACCTATCCCCTCCCTGACAGTCCCATAACTACTACTCCAGTTACCTCTCATCTCGAGAGATAAAAGTGTCACATTTGGTCTCAATACCTTTAGTGCAGGTGCTACAAATGCAGTTCATAGGCCAAATCCAACCGGTGTTTTATTAGACCACCACAATGTATCTTCAAACTTCATATCAGTTGCCAAATTTAAAAACTGAAAGACAGAAATTTTTATTTCTACTGATTATTTTGAAAATGAGATGAACTGACAGCATTAAGCCCAGGATCTGAGTTGGAAAAATTACCCAGAGTGGTAGTTGTCCTCTTTAGACTAGACATTCACCCTCTACACCCTTTTGTCTTACACTAAGTGTTTCAAGTATTTACATATCTTGTCCAGCCACTGTATGCATTGGAGTTGCTGACCAATGTTTACTGCTCATACCAACTAATTCAGTTTATATAAAGTGACTTTTCTGAAATCTAAACCACCTAATGTTATCTCACAATTAAAAACCTTTAATGGTTCAATATTGCCTAGAGAATAAAATAAATCTACTTGCCTTCCCTTCACAGCTTTCATATATACCTTGTACCACCAGCATAGTCGATTTTTCCCCCTGAAAATGCTCGAGTTTTTTGTGCATCTCCTTAGTATACCCTGTACCCATCTCCATACCCCAGCTCCTACACACCTGTGGAAATCCTGCTTATCCTTCCATACCTAGTTCAGACTCAATGACTACATCTGCTTTTTGCTTTTTCCACCATGCCCCTACCTGGTGGGGCCCTAGGATACATCCAAATTGACCCATTGGAATAAAAATAAAATAATATCCCACTTAGTCCTTCCTTAGGACTATAATAGGCAGCACCCTTAGATTTTATGTCTCCTAGCTAGCATCTTGGTTCTTTTCCCTCCAACCACCCAATAACAGAAATTATTGTTGTTAATATAAGAAGAGCTTCCATTTAGTAAGCTTTTGCCATAGAGCAGACACTATGCCAAGTGCTTCACATACATTATCTAAAATATTATCTCATTCAATCCTTATAACAATCCATAAATTATGTACTCATACTCACATTACACCATTGAAAATATTTAGAGAGAGTGACTTTCTCAAGGATACTTGGTTAGTAAGTGGCACTTTGGGTACACAAAATCAGGACTTTTTCAAAAGCCTGCAGTCTCTCCACAAAATTACACTGGGCTGAGTGATTCTCCTGCTTCGGGAGAAATAAATGGGAAATCCAGAAGAAGATGGAAGACTCAGATCTAAACTTTAAGCTAAAGAGTCAAGTTGGTCTTTAAGGTTTTTATATTGTTAAGACATTCACCAAGATAACAAGAAAGATAGTGATAAACATCAGAGGAATTAATAGCACACCAAAAAATTGATATTTGGCTGGAAATATATTTGAATTTATACCTCTTAGGAACCTAAACAAAGCAGTCAGCAACAGATGGAGGTACAAATGCAACAGAATTAAAGGAAACATAATACCTAGACTAGTTGACAAGATGAAATCCCAAAATCTGAGCGCTGCAATCAAAGAGCCATCTACTCTACTGAATTGAATTAGTTCAGTTATATAGCCCTTTTCAAGAATAAAAAGTCCATTAAAAAACATAAAACTAAATAAGTTTTACCATGTTATTAGTCTTTCAAATTATAATTACTTGATATATACTACTTTTATATTAATATAAGAAATAGAAGAATTCTGGGAACTAAGTCATGTAAAAATAGTCCATAAACCAGACAGGCAGAGGGACCCAGCAGAGACGAGCAAAGCCTGCAAGTCATCACATTCCATCAGAAACATCCAGTTGAAACCAAATGAAACAGCACTTCAACAACACTACTAAACAACTGCTGCGACTACTGAACTCAGAAACACGGCAAGGTAAGCAATCTGGGTGTTTCTAATATTGTTCCTCAATATTATAGGCAATTTGAAATAACATGTCAGTCCTAAATCCTAGCCATCAATATAATAAAGTAACAAAACAACTTTGTTTTCGGAGGATATCATGGCATGTTCCTTGTGATTATTTATTTCTCTGAAAATACTAGAGAAAGAATAAAATTTATAGCTTATATAACTGATTGTCAGAGAAGACAAAGTGGTAAAGAAATCCATTTTAGAAAGGATTAAGGATGAAATGACACCTGTGTCACTGTGTGTTCACATGAATTGTTAAATGTCCTTTTATGTCACTAATCACATCAATATTAATTTCTCTCTCTTTAAATTTCTATACTATTTGACAGTCAGTGTACTACTCTTATTCACAAAAGTATCCTCAGGAATTTTTATTTGAATATGTGATAACCAATAGATTTTCATTTTGTAAGGTAGTTCCTTTCCTGAAAAAACTAAAACAATTGCATAATATCACTAAATAAACTCTAACTTTTAGAAACAATCATCGAAATATTTCTACCACTTCTTATATGCTTTTGAATGTTTACTTCTCAAGTCAATAAAATTGGCATGGATTCAGTAAGAATCCATCTGAATGAAGCTAATCTTTGTTTCCATTCCAAATGCTAATCACTGGCGTTCCCAAATGTATTTCTTTTTTTATGAAATAACAAATTAAAATACATGTGATTTCCAAACTCTGTTTTAGCAACAGAGCACTCATCAAATACAATTTTGCCCACCCACAACACAAACACTGCAACACAAAAAAGCACAGTTGCTTCAGCATAGGCTGGGGTGAAATGGGCAGCCAGAGACCAAGCGCTCCCCCTACTGGCTAGTAATTCCCCAACAGACTGTCTGGGCTCTAGAATCTATTTCAAGAGCCACTATAATCAAGTACAGATAAAACAGCACAAACTCTGCTGTGCAAAGTAGATAGTAACAGTCCAGAGTGAATTTTTCAGAGACAGGGAGCCCTATCATGTGATAACAAATAATGTAAAAATTTAAATTTACCATACAAAATGTGCAGGTAATCAGCAGACCACTTAGCTACCTGCTAGTACCAATCTTTAAAAGTCATTTTTAAATTACTTTAAAATAATTTTTTAAAGAGTGAATTTAAAAGTTCATATTTAAAAGGTGATCCATGAAAAATTAATAAGATAGAGGAAAATATATGGTTCAGAACTACTTTTAGGTACAGTACTATATATTCTTAATAAGACATCACTTAGCCATGCCTAAGTAATACCTAGGATCTCTAAGAAGTGTGACTCCAATTAATTGAAGGGCTTTTGTTTTGCTGAGTGAAGTAAGCAATTTGAGCATCAGAGCTAAATTGCCATGGTCAATAGTGGAAACGCTGTACATTACCAACTGTGGTTTTCCATGTGGTATATAACCTGACCTCTAAATAACAAGCATATATTTATCAGTAACAAACTGAGAGGGTGCAAATTGTTAATCATCTTTGGATGACTGAATGTCTCCATATTGACTCAGTATCAATGCATACTAAAGAGTGACTTGTTTAAAATTTTAAATTTGCACAAGTCAAGCACCACCTCTATCTACAATTTTGAATGGCATATTACTTTCAAGATGACAGGTAATTTTACCATCTTAACACATTGCGGATTAGTAGTTTTATTGCTAGCTTTACCCAGTGGCCAGATAAGTTTCTATTGAACGAGTACAGGAAAAAAAAAAAGGTTTTACATAAATGTTAAAGGCACGCTTTAAAATTAAATACCAATTGCATTTTGAAGTTATTACGTTCTTATAAGCTAATATCTTTTTAAAGTATGATCTTCGTAAAACACTGTGTAACATGAACGAGAATTCTCGTGATCCGTCCGCAATGTGTTAACTAGAATTTCCATAAAGCAAGAACCATGTCTTTTTCATTTTTGTGTGCTCTACAGAGTCTAGCATCCCACCTTATACATAGTAAAGTGCTACTCAATTAGATAAATTGTTACTGAATTATTGAATTGCTCCCTTCACCAGGCTCTTCAAATTTCACCTAAGAAATAATTCATTAGTTTCACCTTCAAACCCCACCTCTCCTCCATCTAATTCTCTAGCATTTATTTCACTGTTGGGACAGAAATAATCTTGTGTGGTCAGTACTGGAGCAGGTATAGGAGCAGGTGAGCTGAAGATAAGGAACCCTCCCAAAGCCTTTCCCCAAGAAGAAAAGAGCTAGGAAGGTAAGCCAGACTTAGAAAAATAAAAGTCCTTTTCTATTAGATCTGAGAAAAATAAAAGTCCTTTTCTATTAGATCTGAAAAATAATTCTCAGCACTTCTTGATGTCTCTTACTCAAACTTGTTATTGGCACAAAATTATGAATTGGTGCCTGGATCATCTGGGTATAAAAGTGCACGTGCAAGGGATTCAGTATGTAAAGAAAGAAAATATTACTTTTGCAGTTGAAAAAATATTGTGTCTTTGGTTTCTGGTAAGATTGAACTTTCCTCATCAGTTAGCTACTATAGAACTTACTGTCTGTTCAGTTATTTGCTAATTTAGGTATCAGATTATTACTTTATTAATAACATTCTTTAAAAATTAATATTTCATTTTTCTTGTATTTTTCAGTTTGTTTTTAGTTGCTTTTACACGGTCATCTTTGTTAATCAAATTTTTGTCTTTTTTCAATTTTTTAAGTTTATAAAGTCTTCTATATTGACATTTGAAAATTATCCATTTTCTTTTTTATTAGTTGATTTTTTACATATATTATGCTAATAACATTTTTAAATCACCTTTAACCCCTAAAACTACCCCATTATGTCAGAATAATTTATGAAATAATAATCTCAATTACCATCAATCTAAGATACTAAATTTATCATATATTAAATCAAATGTATAGAAGGGTCTGCTTTGAGGACTCTTTTGTTCCACAATTCCATCTACTCTTTCACCTGTACAATACTGGTTAATTGTATTTTGAGTGTTTTAATATTTGAGAAGGAAAAAGTCCCATCATTATTTTTCCTGAAAAGATTAGTCTCACCTATTCAGTCTTTCGGATATATTTTATGATTAATTTGTTAAGAGTGCTCTAAAATAATTAATTTGTTAAGAAGAAATTGATCACTTGGAAGCATTTGACCTCCCATCCCAGAGGAAAATTCGTTTCTCCATTTGTTTACCTTGGGGCAAGTAGAACCACACATCTTTTCTGGAAGTTAGGCCTTCAGATAGTGGCATATGGTAGTTGTTAGATATATTTCTACTTTTTCAAGGTAAGAAAAACTCCTCTCAACTAAATATCTGAATAGGGATGTAGTTGATGATCTTCTGAATTCAAAGTCAGAAAGTAGAGTTTTCATTTCATGATAAGATCTGAAAACTAAGACACCCCCCAAAAAAACGTTTAATGGAAAATTCCTGGAAGAAAAAAGAGAAATCAAAGTTCAAATTTATAGTTACAATTTCTGTTTACAACCAGATGGTGAGTTTGGGGACTATTTAATAGACCCTCAGCAAACAATTTCTTTAAATGGATATTTTTTAGGCACAGTCTTGGAGAAGTTTGTGTGGTGTGTGTGTGTGTTTTACCGGATCTGAATCAAAGATAAAAATGAATTTTTGACCATGATAAAGTTTATGCCACCAGGGGTACCAGTGCATTTTTCTAAATTTAACAGCATAGGTAATTGTGTTCCTTATCCATTTTTTAAATATCTTCCCCTCTCCATTTCCAAATTATATCTTTATGACTTCATGGTTCCTTTCTTGAGAGAAAAATACCTCACGTCCTTCATCCCATACTTCTCAGGTTGCCCTATCTAGCCTAAAAACCATGGTCCTAAAGGAGGGCCCAAGATACTATCTACTCCAAGAGAGAATGTGCCAGATACCACACAGATATACAGAACTCCATTTTCTCTTTCTTTTCTTCCAAGAGTTTAAGTGAAAAATAAAAATGCCAGGCACATAGCAATCCTACTCAAGGTATGCACATTGAGTAATTGTTTTCACTAGGCTCAAGCTTTTAGACAAATAACTCATAAGAACATGCTTATTCCTTTTTTCTCTTCATGGTACTCTGAGCCAGAAGTGCAAAAATAAGAAGGCTCCTACCAGACTTATTCTATTCATTCTATGGTGTGCTTTGCTACTTACTCCTTAATACTTCCATGAAATGGCATTATCTTCTTTTAGTAACTCTAACTTATCTTAATAATGGCCAACCACAATATAGATTCTAAATAATTTACTTTATAAGCTTTGAAAATAGAGAATCAGAGAAATAGTCATAACTGCTGTCCCCTGCACCATGTCTTTAATCCTCACGTGAGATTGTAATGAAAGGAATCTTGAATCAATACTCTCATCACATGGATTTTTTGTAAAGGTCTATTATATTTGCCTTTCAATGTTCCTTAGGTTTAGAGAAATTGCCTGTAAAGTTATATAGTGATTTGAATATTATAAATTAAGATAACAGAGTATATAAACAAAATTATATATTAATAGCCCTGTAAACTCAGAGATCTTAATATTCTTCTGGCCCTATTAATTTAACTCCAAATACTGTGGAAATCAACCCAATAGGTCTATTCAGTGTGGTGACTAGAGGTCGGAGAAATAAAAGAGCTAACCATTAGCTCTGGTTATCAAGAACTAACCATTTCAAACTGCAGTGTTTCAAATATATTATTAAATATTACTTGAAAATAATCACATTTATTTATTAATAATCAGATGCCTCATAAACATAAATATTTCCTATCTAGGACTTCCCCTCACCACAAAATGTAATTCTTTAATGCATCCACAGGTTGTATTCTGTTACCTGCGTTTCCATACACTGACTTCAAGTTTCATAAAAATAATTGTTTTGAAGAACCTGTTGAGTTTCCTGAGGAATTCCTTACATAGCATATTGCTACTTTGCTTTTCATGAAATAAAAGATTTCCTGGTCAAATCTATGCAAACAGCAGATATTTTTTAAAGATTTTTAGTGAAAATTCACCATTTTATTTTTCAGAGATCATATTTGAAATATGGCTGAGAGTGACCTCCTCTACCCAGAGAACCCAAGGAGGCGGGAAGAAGTACACCATCTTCACCAACAGCTCCTTGACTGCTTATCGGACAGCTTCCGTGCCACCAATGAGCTGATTGAAGTTTTAAATATGCATTTGGGGTGCAGGCTGGCCTCCATTGAGATGAACAGAAATGGGACCATCAAAGAAAACTGTGATACCATTATCCAAGCCGTGATGAAAATCCAAAAGGAATTGCAAAAGGTTGATGAAGCACTAAAAGATAAACTAGAGCCAACCCTTTATAGAAAACTTCAGGATATTAAGGAAAGGGAAACAGAGAAAATTGCAATCGTACAAAAGGTTATTTCAGTAATCCTGGGAGAAGCCACTTCTGCAGCCAGTGCAGTGGCTGTTAAACTCGTGGGCTCAAATGTCACAACTGGCATAATTAACAAGTTGGTCACTGTGTTAGCTCAAATTGGTGCTTCTCTTCTTGGTAGCATAGGAGTTGCTGTTCTTGGCCTTGGCATAGATATGGTCTTCCGTGCCATCCTAGGAGCAGTGGAGAAAACGCAGCTACAAGCAGCCATCAAAAGTTATGAGAAGCATCTGGTGGAATTCAAGTCAGCCTCAGAAAAATATCATCATGCCATTACTGAGGTCACCAATACAGTGAAACACCAAATGAAATAAACAGCCACCTTATTTGCCACTGGAATATTTTCTGCTTCTCTTTCAATAATAGTGTTTGGTTTCTTGGATTAGCTTCATTTTCCATAAGTTTCCAACATAGACATAAATACCGTAACAGATTGGAAAGATTCCTTGTTTTGCATCAGTAACAAATGTCTGGACCAGTTGGTGCTAGACCATGGGAGAGAATCCCAGGATTCTTCTAACTCTCCTCTACTAGCTCAATTTTAGGGTACATGCTAATGTAGAGTAGCAGGTGTAGGGGTTGCCTTTTCCTTTCTAATATCAAGTAAAAATCTTTCAAATGTACATTGAATGCAAAGGTTTTTATTCCTAACACTTCAGACATCATTTAGTTCTAAGAGGACATACTTTGTAATTTCTGCCTGGACACAAATCCTGGCCTTTGAATGTAATAGAAACACTACCATAATTTCAACCATCAGTTTAAATCCAATTTTCTGTAAACTGGAAAAGACTGGAATATGGTTTGTAACTTCTTACTTCTATGATGAAAAGAGTCAATGGTTCTGTAAACTTCTAAATTAAACACTATAATCTGAATGGACTTTTAATGGATAAAAATTTAAAACTAAAAAAAAAATAAAGGTTTTGTTTCTATAAGTATAATCAACCCTGATCAACTGTTGTATGATAATTAAATATCCCTCAAGTGAAATGTTTGAACACTCTGGAACTTTTTTTTTAAAGCAAATCCAAGATACACCTGCATATAATGCATTCAGAGTGCAGGAGAGGAAGTAGCAATTCTTTCAAGAATTTGTCATTCAGCCCTGGCTGGTTTGGCTCAGTGGATAGAGTGTCGGCTTGCAGACTGACAGGTCCCGGGTTCGATCCAGTCAAGGGCACATGCCCGGGTTGCAGGCTCAATCCCCAATAGGAGGCGTGCAGGAGGCAGCCCATCAATTATTATTTCTCATCATTGAGCTCGCTCTCTCTCTCTCTCTCTCTCTCTCTCTCCCTTCCTCTCTGAAATCAATAAAAATGTATTTTAAAAGAAAAAGAATTTGTCATTCAAAGGAAAATCCTAATTGATCTTTTGAGTTTTCAGAAAAAAAAATATTTCACTTTCAATGCTAGCAGAATGGAGGAAGTTGCCCTTGCTATGTAAAGCTTTGGATAGCCCATTTCATTAATTACATTAATTTCAGATATATCCAGAGGCTATGGAGGCCTAATGGTTCAGTTAAATTTCTGCAGATGGAAATGTTTTCTAAATCCTGCACCAACTAATAATTTCCCATTGAGACTCTTAGATTATACTTACAAAATTATTAATAAGCTGTTGATGCAAGAATGTGTTTGTTATAGTTGATTCTTGCATCCAAATTCAAGAAATGTCTTGAAATTTAAAAGCCTCAGCGTATCTCAAAAAGTAAAAGCTAGATGAAATACATTAATTTTTCAAAAATATTCATTTTCTCTTCTATCATTGATTTTTAATATTAGTTCCAAAATATCACAATTTAGTTCACCTTCAATATTAAATATTTTTGTTGTTTATTACCTGGTTTATAAGCTATAAACTACAAGATCGTTTTACTGTTCTGAGACTCAAGTCAGTCTAAAACCAAATCAAGAATTTCCTAAAACGAAAGTTAGTTCAGATAAAGGACCAATCTTAAATAGCTAAGTGCACATTTAAATATTCTACTAAACATTAATATCTCCACCAGTATTTTAGAATATTAATAACGGATTGTCGGAATTGACCTATATCTAACATTTTCCTATAAGGAATATTCAGATTAAGATCCGAAATAAACAAGTGTATTCTTTAAGGGGAGAATTTTTTAAGTATTTAAAATTACCTTTAAGAGGAAATGACAGAAGAGGAGTCTTAGAGAAAGAGCGGATGGAAGAGAAAGAAAGAACCTTCGAACACTAGAACTAAGGGAATAATCGACTACGTGTAGTGACATCACACGGGATTGGGGGCTGGTGTCGTAAATTTAAAACTGACAGTACATGTATCCCCACACTTCCCTTCCAAAAAGTAATCCTGTAGACCAGCAATCTGGGACTCCGATAAGGGCACTGATTCATTCGCTCCTGTCTACAAACAACTACTGAACTTCCAGACGGACATGACGCTGGCAAAACACAGTAGCAAATATATATATACTTTTTTTTTTTTTCGGGGATTCGTTTCCAAACAGATATTCCTAAAAGATCACACTAGCTTACGTCATGAAAAGAAAAAAAAAAAAGAGTCCCAGAACCAATACAACTCCGGGTCGCAGAAACACCACCACACACTTCTCAGTGTTGAATCCGCCGGTCTAAAGCAATCAATCAAGCAACCGGAATTAGGTTAGAATACCTCGGGCCCAAGAGGCAGGGCCGTCTTCACACCAGCCAATCATATCCGAGCTGGCTCGATTTCTTATTCCTATTGGCCTACAGAAGTGTCGATCAACTTGGCGTCTTTGTACTGCGTAACCTTAGGGCGGGCTCTGAGCAAATAACCAACAAATTGGGTTCTGTCTTGGAGCGGAAGCGACTCCAGCCGTGGAGTCCTTGGTTACGCGCTACATTTCCAGGGCCGAGAAACGCTGAGATCTCAGGCCCACGGGGAGAGGAAGTGACGTAGGGACGGTGGCGGGGCGCGAGGTTTCAAGATGGCGGTTGCTGGATAGCTGACCGGGAGCCGCGGTGAAGGCCCCTACGAAGGGAAAGAGGCCGAGAATCCTCCCCTCCCGGCTTCTCGCAGTCCCAGAGCCCAGCAGAAGCGTGAGTGTGCGGGATCGTCCCCATCGGGTTCTTCATCTCGCCCGTCCCTTCCAGGGGCCCGCGCGGTCGCCGCGGGGACAGTAGGCCCTTTGGCCCCCGCTCTTCCTCTCCGCGGTTGGGGTCTCCCGGGTCACGGACTGACGGGATCCCCGAGCCTGGGGCGGAGCGGCGACCGGCGGTGAAGCGGCGGACTTCGCCCGGGTGGGTTAGCGCCGCCTCCGGTCTGTCCACGGTGATCGGTAGGTGGCCTTGGGCTTGGTATCTGCACCTCGAGTCGGGGTCAACCGTCGCTATGGTTGCGGCAGTTGCCGCCGCGGTGACGGCTGGCGGGAGCGGGCTCCTTCCCCGGGAGCCGCTCTGCCTGGTTAGCGGTCCCTCGTGGCTTTGTGGCCCGGTTTCCCCGTCGCCTCTGCTTTAAGACCAAACAGTCGTGTGCGCAGACCGAAGTTCCGCTGCCTTCAGTAAAAATGACTGTAAATAGCCTTCTGGTTCCGCAGGAGCCCGGGGAGGCCTGAGGGAGGAAAGCCACGCAGGTCGGCCGTCCGAGGTGGGAGAGCGGGTGCTGGTGCCCGCTCTGCTGGCTTCCGCGGCCCGGGGTCGGAGGAGGAACCCCTTCACCGGGTAAATTCGGTGCCGCCGGGGCGCTTTGCAACCTTTGGCAGAAGTCGGGGCAATTGAACACTTGCTGAAAGAGGCACTGACTGGTCATACCTGATAAAATCTTTATAAAGAGGGAAAGGTGTCGTTGTAAGATCTACTAAAAGCTCTACCTCTGGCCTGTAACGTTCCCCGTAAAAGGTTTATGGTTTTGCTACGCGAGCCCTGGCCATTGTGTGTGTGTATGTATGTGTGCTTCTAGGTTAACACACTTTTAAAATGCTTTTTCAGGCCCCTCGGAAGCTTAAGGACCTTCGAGGGGCCACATTATCCGATTAACTATCCTGAAACCCAATCCTAGGTATTTCCCTCGTCCCCCATCCCCCACCCCCTTTGCTTTCTCCCCCCTCAAATGTCCTGGTGCTCACATTCCCTCCTTAATTCCAAAGGTATAAAAGGGACTGCAAAACTGTCATTACATGGGGGGGAAAAAGGAGACATGTGTAATGCTTTTTGTAATACTTTAAGCAATAAAACAAAATTTTTAAAAAAAATTGTTATGAGAAGGAAAAAAAAAACTGTCATTACCCAGAGCAATGTTGAGATCTCGCTGCCCGGCAGGTCATCAGTTTGGCTCAGATGAGCTCTAATATGCTCTTGTACAACTTTTCTACAGGTTTGGACATTCTTATGTTGATCCTGGTAGCTTTGGTGGTGTTTTTTTTAAATAAACAAGTGAACCGTACAGATTGTCAACATGGGACGAAGATCCACATCATCCACCAAGAGTGGAAAATTTATGAACCCCACAGACCAAGCCCGTAAGTATCCATTAATGGGGATGCTGAAGAAGAGAAGCGGTAGAAATTGTAAGCGTTAGGGAATCTATTTCATGATGTCCTAATTACAAGATCAGCAGTGCTAGGAGTCAGTTGTGTGAAGTTATCCAGTGTTCTTGTGGGCACATGATTAACACTTCAAACATACAAAAGAAATTCACACCCCTATTTCTAATTTGATTGAATTGCACAGTAAAATTAGCTTAAAGCAGTGGTTCTCTGCCTTCCTAATGCCGCAACCCTTTAATACAGTTCCTCATGTTGTGGTGACCCCCAACCATAAAATTATTTCCGTTGCTACTTCATAACTGTAATTTTGCTACTGTTATGAATCGTAATGTAAATATCTGATATGCAGGGTGTATTTAGGCGACCCCTGTGAAAGGGTCGTTCGACCCCCAGAGGGGTTGCGACCCACAGGTTGAGAACCGCTGACTCAAAGCTTTCTTTTTGTATTCAGAATTCTGAACAAATTAATTTTGCAGGTTCTTTAACATTTCATGGCATCTTTTTTCTTTGTGTTCCTAATTCTTAAGAAAACAAAAATAATGTTGATATTTTTAGTTGGCAAAATTAGAAGGGTGCTAGTAGCATCCAGTAGGTAGAAGCCAGTGATGCTGCTAAAGAATCCACAGTGTACAGGACAGCCACACACAATACGAATTATCTGTGTTGAGAAAATGCTATAATAATGGTCACGATTTGAAAGGTCTGTATTCTCTCTTTCTCTTTCTCAAGGAAAAGAAGCCCGGAAAAGAGAATTAAAGAAGGTATGATTTCAGATGATCAAATTTGTCACATCTTACATTTGGGATGGGTGGATTTTAATATGACA